CGATTTTTTTTTTTGCCTGTTGTGAGCGGTCGATCATAAATTGGTCTGTCAGCGGCACTTAAATCCCCCCTCCCTACCCCTAAAGTTTCTGCAGCGGAAGCACAGACCACTGGGAAAAATACGACTCAAGGAAGATGGCCGTGAAAGTGGGACTTTGGGGAAGATCTATGCCGTGTGTCTAGATAGAACTTGAAAGCCTCAACCATCAACCATGGCCAAGTTTGAGGATTTTTTCTGGGTACTTATCGCTATGATATCAGCTTATGCGGGAGTATTGTTGGAAGCAATTATTGTTGGAAGCATAATATTTGAAACTAGGAACTTTTAAATAAGATTACATGTTTATAAACTTTCCGTGTGTCTGTTGTTTGTAAACAGGAACAAAAAGGCTATGAAGACTTGCGGAAATTGTGTCGACAAGGAAATGAATTTTGCCGTGAAGCCTCTTCTATTTTCAATGAAAGGTAGGAAAATATGCCGAATAATAATTATGGATAAAGGAAACTCACGCAAATTCAAACTCTGATTTATGCTTAATACGTCAATGAATATGTCTACTCAGCAAATGTTTCTACGGCGTTTGTGGAGCTCTATTTCCCTGGCATTTCTCTTGCCGATAGCCTGAGTACAGGCTAAGTTAGCTCATTTACTTAGAAGTATATTTTTATCTTGCCCTTGGGCATTCCTCAAAATTTATTTTTGGTGGTTTCGGTATTTCAGTGTATGAATAAGCTTACGCTCTATTTATAGTACGTATCACTTCTTGCTATGAAGGATTAGCCTCTCTTCCTGCTTAACCATCAACTTAGATTTCTGTGATCTAATTTTGCTGTTATAGTGTATCAATGTTTTGTGATTTATCCCTTCCCTCGCCCTCCAGTGCTCTTCAATGTTATCGTTACGGGAATGCCCACCAGGAATTCTTTTGCAAGACTGCTCAGACCTTTGCCCAGTCATTTTTTTCTAATTGGGGGTGAGAGAAGATTGGGTACCAGTGAACTGGGGAGTATGGGAAGCGGAGGAAAGAGACAAAGGAAAAATAACAAGTGTCAGATTTCATTTCACTCAGTAGGCTTGCAAAAGAATCTTGTTTTTCTACATTTTCAGTGAAGCTTTGGAAGGGGTGGCAAATGGTCCCTCTACAAATCAAATGGGTCTCACAAAATTTGGCAGTTATGTGTATCTTTTCACAAACCTGTCTCGAAGTCTTGATTTTTTGTAAGGTCATTAAATTTCTATTTGTTTGTTCCTAGTTAAAAAGGATGTTACAGTCTTTCCCCTAAAACCTTGAACATCAGAGAAAATTTCTGGAATGCTTATTGTTTTGTGACCAGTCAGATGCGAGATGAAACCACAAAAGATAACTGCCAAGACTTTATGGGAAAGACTGTAAACTACTCGCATATCTTAGGGCCTCTTCATATGAGCCCAGTTGACAAGGCTGGCCTGGTTACCACGATCTCGCCTCACTCCTATTTCCTTTGTATTTCAATGTGTTCATATGAAAAGGCGGGCCAGCCGGTTGCCGAGATCTCGGTTGTAGAAACCAAGATCTCCACAACTGGGATAAAAGTTTTCCCATATGAACACTTAAGCCCAGGTAACATTTCGGTTTTGTTTCTTAAATTTCATCCGGGTCAACAGGGATGAACTGCTATAAATATGAAAGACCACAAAATTTGTCCCAGTAACCGAGCCAGCTTGATTACCAGGCTCATTTGAAGAGGCCCTTGCTCTACTTCCCATCTTCAAGGGCAAAAAAAATTCTTCTTTTTTTCCTTTTTTTGACAAAATTGATGTCAGTCATTTTACCTAATGTTTGTAAAAGAAAACTATTAAAAACCCCAAAAGTGGTCAAGTTATTAATGTAGAAAAAAAAACGATTTTCAGATAAAAGTTAATCAAGCTCTTAGGTAGGTGTCATAATCTTGAAAATGGATGAAACTGCTGGGGACATTTTTGCAGCAAAAATGCATTCCTACTCCCTGCATGTCTCAAGCGACTTTCATCCAATCTTCCCTTCCTAAACACGTAATTAAATATATAGCAACTGGAAACTTCCTTCTCGTATATATAACACATAACAACCACCGGGTACGAATCTTGTGAACTCCTGAAAGTATTTAACTGTAGACCCAAACCTAACATCTTAAAACGTACAGGTAGTAAGTTCTTAATTCAAATTGTAACTTTAGCTTCTAAGGAGTGCAGGATGCTTGCATTGCCCTACTTCCACTCTTTCAAGTTAAACTTAAACAAAAACAATTAATTACCACCATCTCAGTCAGTACTAAATTGTACTAGGGAGCCCCTCTGTGCTTTCTTAAGACCAATCAAAACAATTTTTAATAGTAGAAACTTTAAACACTGCACCAATCAGGAA